CTCTAATTCTTTACCCTCTGGTGGCACATAGTCTATAATTACCTTCATGGTGGTCTTTTAAATTATGCTCTCATGAACACTGCAAGGCTAGATGGGGAAGTGTTCCATTAAATAACATTTCTTATAGCCTTTGTGTTCATGGTGAAATCAACTGTCAGATCTGTTATTTGCCTCTCCAAGGAGAGCCTGGCCCCTAGCTTCAATTACCTTTTGTCCTCTGGTTTAATTTATAGCAAGAATGTTGATATTTTGGACTCTTAGTGTTCCCCACTAAATAAATCACCTAACTATATCATACATTTAACTACAACATATATTAACTATTCATGAAGCCAGTGGATGCTGGGAAGAAAGAAATACCACCCAAGTTCTAGGAATACAACTAATCATATACTTTTTTTTTTTTTTTTGGCTAGGCATTGGAGTTAAGTGACTTGACCAAGGTCAGACAGCTAATAAGTGTCAAGTGTCTGAGTCCGGATTTGAACTCGGGTCCTCCTGACTTCAGAGCCGGTGCTCTATCCATTGCGGCACCATCTGCCCCTAATCACACACTTTCAAAAAGGGGTGGCTACTACAAAGAAATGAAAACTGAAGAAATAAAAAATGAAATTAAAGAAAATTAAAGAAATGATTATCTCTTCTCAAAAAGCAGCAAAGCAAAAAACATTGATATGGGCCCCGGCTATCTTATCATAAATAATATTTGCATCTGTATCTTTCATTTTGTATGGAAACACCACAGAATAATTAATCCAATAAACATTTATTAAGTACATAATGTGTGTAGAGAAATGTGCTAGGGACTGGGTAGATACAAGATTTAGGTAAGCAACAACACCCTCTCTCAAGCAATTCATTGTCTAGTAAGGGTATATGATAAAAATACAGATCTTAATGTTATACAAGAAAGGCATCTGAGAGGTAACAAGCAAATGCTCCATGAGCTTTAAGAAAGGTTTTTATTGACTTGGTATACTTTAAAAATCATCTTATTAAAAGGAATGATGAGTTTGTTTCTTTCTCACCTGTCACTGTAAAAATTATTCACTCATTATTCTTTTCTCTACTGTTTCCCCAGCTAGTTATAAATGCTTTAAAGTAGTAAACGAGTACACACTCATACCCATAAAAATGTTTCCTTTTTATAATGAAATAATTACAAGTTATAAGATATGGGAACCATGGCTAATTGAAAGAAAAATTGGCTCTGCAATGGGAAGTTTTTTGTTGTTCAGTTGTTTTGGTCATGTCCAACTCTTAGTGACCCCCTCTGAGTTTTGTTGGCAAAGATACTGGAGTAGATTACCATTTCCTTCTCTAGCTCATTTTATAGTTGAGGAACTATAGGAGCATATATGAAGCAAACAGGGTTAAGTGACTTGCCCAGGGTCACATAGCTAGGATGTGTCTGAGGTTGGATTTGTACTGATGAGGCTGGATTTGTACTCCAGGCCTGGCACTCTATCCACTGTGCCACCTAGCTGCCCCTTTGAACCTTCTGATGGGTTCAAATCCCATCTCTGATTTTACTACCTGGGTGACTCCTGTTAAGACATTTAACTTAATTGTAAAATGACTCATCTGTAAAATGAGAGGGTTGGATTTGATGGCCTCAAAAGTCTTTCTTGGTTCTAAATACATAATCACATATAAAAAAAAATCAATACTTCTTAAATATTCCTTCCATATTTAAGAGAATGCCTAGACTAGGTCTTGAATATGCCATATCTCATTGATTTAGATTCAAACAGAATAAAATCCTGAAGGGAAAAGAACATTGTATTTCGAGTCAGAAGACCAGAATTTCAATTTTAGCTCTACTTCTCACCATTTGTGTCAACTAAGGGCAAGCCAATTGGATTTCCTGGGCCTCAGTTTTCTAATTTGTATAATGAAAGGGTTGAACTAAGAAAAGATTTAGTACTGGAGGGAACCTCAAATATCATCTAGTCCAACTTTTTCATTTTCTAAATGGTAACTAAGGCCTTGAGTGAATTGACTTATGCCATAGATACTAAACAGCAGAGTTAGGCTACAAATCCTCTAATTATGTGGCCTTTGCCACTAAATGATCTCTCTGATGTCCCTTGTCCTAAATGCAAGTGCTTTAGATAAAGTCCTTAAGAATAAATAAGCTTGGGACTATCTATTTAATTGAATAAAGATAGGAGTCCTTCATACTCTGAAAATAGGCTACCAGCTGCATATCCAATGAAATAATACAAGTGGGCAGCCCAATGATTATTACTGCAACAATGAGGACTGGAATGCAGAAAGCTACAGTCTCTTTTATCTTCTACCTTTGTGAGCGTTGGCGAGCTTTTGTGAGAGGTCTCTGGGTCGGCAGTTCAGCTCTCTGTATTTTGAGGTCACTGGCCTACAAAGGGTACTGAACTCTCAATCTGGGCTCCACTAGCCACAGGCTAATGAACAAATGAGGCAAACACATTCTACAAAACAAGGCAACAGTCCCCTGATGCTTAATACTTCATATCAATTATGTTACACCTCTTCATTCTATGGTGATTGGCAGAATTTCTTTGTTTTGCATATTCTAATAGAAAGTTAATTTACCTAGTAAAGTTTTGGCTTCATCTTTGTTTTTGTTGCTGTTGGCGGGTTACTGCTGAATCTTTAAGAAGTTCAGTGGCCATGATGACGCGGAAGGGAGATTCTCTCTTCCCCTCCCCCAATATTCTTAACCCATCATATTGGTTCTCTCGTTTTATTACGAAAAGGTCAAAATATAAGAATAGCTGTGCTTTTTCTCTTTAAAATTAAAAAAAAAATAGATTACAGCCTGAAAATGATCTTCCCAACAGGCATCCTCCACCCCCACCACCCCTGTTAAAATAAACATACAAGGCAGCCCTGTCCATCCATAGCGAGAGCCTGTGTATAGGTTTTTGTTTCAAAGACATAATGCAGCTGTGTCAGGGAATACTCCTGATTCTAAATGAGAGGGGCAGAGGCTTGTGGAATTGCCAGTTGTTAACTAGAAAATGTCCAAACAACACCACAAAATCAACTTTCTCAAAAACAAAAAAACTATTTTCAAATGTGTAAATGAGCAAATATGTCAAATATTTCTATCTGGGCAGAAAACTAGAAACAGAAGACAAAACTGCTTCACTCAGCACCAATACACATAACAAACAAAGCTCATGCTACTTAAAATTAAATCCACACAGCAGCAATTACATTGAGCTAGTGATGTGAAAGGCTGTGAAAAGTTAGAGGATTTGATTACTAAGCCAGCTCAAATTACTAAAATCATAGCTTATATTGGCAGGCCACAGTGGCTCCGTATATTAATCCATCCCTTTTTATACAGTCTCCCCTATTTCTAGAGCTCCAATTTCTAGCTGGGTTTTGAAATTATAGTAGTTCAACAGTAAATGGAACTGGGCAGCCTGAAAGAAAACTGCATATGGTATGTTAACATAACAAAGTCCAAATTATTTATAACTACAAAAGGAATTGTCCACATAATGAGTTGGTTTTTTTTTTTTTTTAAGATAGCAGTGGAGAGTGTATGCTTTCATTTTGCTTAAATTTTAGGTTCAGTAGGAAAAGGGCATTACATAAATCTGTAATATTGATAAAAATAAATGCTTTATCTGCAAAGCCTACTTAAAAGAAATTTCAAAGTATTTTACATGTATATATAAGTGTGTATGTATGTATTTACAATTCTTATAATTTATTTTAGATCAATATTCTTAATTGTATTTTACAAGTTGCTTTTCTAACAGATAGGTACACAAATGAGTAAAAATATTTATAAGGAGAAGGCTATCCAGGAAACTGAGCCAACACACACTCACACACACACAGACACACACAATTACATCATTTGTTAAAAATTAAGTCAACCTCTCAAGAGGGTTTAAGACCTAATTTAAACCTCAATTACCTGATCAATTTTTGTTTTTTAAAAATAACAGAAAAACAAAAAAGATGATGCAGGCCAACAATGCCATTTTGTAGATGAGGACAACTGAGGCAGAATCTAAGTGACTAAAACTAGATTTTTTGGGCAGCTAGGTGGTGCAGTGGATAGAACACTGGCCCTGGAGTCAGGAGGACCTGAGTTCAAATCTGGCCTCTGACACATAACACTCACTAGCTGTGTGACCTTGGGCAAACAAATAAAAAAAAAGAATTAAGAGTTAACATTTAAAACTAGATTTTACAGGTAATGTTTTAAATCCTGAGTTTTTTTTATCTATCCATCCATCTGTCCATCCCCTTTTAAGGGCAGCTAGGTGGCTCAGTAGATAGAGTGCCGGCCCTACTGCAATTTCAAAACCTAGCAGAAATTGGAGGACCTGAATTCAAATTTGACCTCAGACAACTTACTAGCTCTGTGATCTTGGGAAAGTCATTTAACCTTGTTTGCTTCAGTTCCTCATCTACAAAATGAGCAAGAGAAGGAAATAGCAAACCACTCCAGTATCTTTGCCAAGAAAACCCCAAATGGGGTCACAGAGACTCAGAGATGACTGAAAATGATTGAACACCACACATGCCTTTTTAAACACATAAGTCTTTTTTCAAGAAATAGAATGGAACAGCAAGTTTTATTTTGAAATGAGAAATGACAAAACTTTAGCACCCAATCTAAATCTGGAAGTCATATTCAATGCAAAAACGCCAGTTTCATAGATGATGCACTAACTCAGTTTTTGGGCACAGAATCTTAGATTTGGTTGGGAAATACCCAGGTGATTTTTAAGATGTCTTTTGATGTTAAAAAAGAGTAAACCTTCGGCAATATCAAAATAAGCAGGCCTAAAAATAGCCCAAATCAAAAGTCAAAGAATCACTTAGGCTCACTAAATCAATGTTTGTTTTCAATATGAAGATTAATAGAATAAGGAAAAAAACAATGAAAGATCTTAAGAAAATATCTTTATCTGACTGATATGCTTTAGATAAACTATAAGTAAATAAAACTAAGTAAAGTAACAGCAAAAAGCCCAAATTCACCTTACCCATGTGGTAGTCTTTGTATTGTGATCAATGAAGAACGGACGGCCATTTGGAGCTATCCGCATTTCCCAGCCAGGTGGAAGGAAGCTCTGCGTAACTTTGTGCTGTGGCTTTGGAGAGTTGTAAGGTGATGGCTGTGGGGATTGTGGATTGGAAAGGGTGTCCTTCACAGCTCGCCGTATGGGTGAATCCTTGGCACCCTATGGAATAATGATATCCATTAGAACTCCTCCATTGCCATTTTAGATAAGCCCAAGTGGGTTTATGGAAAGCTTCTCGCTGGAGAAGAACGAAAAGTAGGCATCTGTTTTTAAAAATGATATTTATTCCTATCTATACATTTGCGTTGACTCACTTTTTTTCAACCTCACTTTAATATTTGTTAATTTAGTATTTCTCCATGGCTATCAATGAATGCTTCAAAATATAAACTATACCAATTAGTTACTTAGCACAACTGAAATATAGGGTTTTTGTGCTAAGCTCAGTGAGGATTCCACAGAGCACAAAGAATGTTGGTTCCTGCCCTTAAGAGCTCACAATCTAATGGGGAAGGTGGTTATAATCTTTACAATGACAAAATGTAAAACTTGTTTATTGGAGGAAAACACTTGCTGTCTTGTGACTTTTGTGCAACATAATGAACACGAACTTTAAGAATTAAGCTCTAGTTTTGAGGAAGCTTGTTCTATTATATGATGTGTTTTTTTTTCACTGTCTGCATACAATTTAAGCTTGAGGCATCAAGAATCCCTTGAATTTAAGTGACACACAATTATTCTCCCAATATTGTAACTGCTCAATGCCTTGAAAGGATTGGTTTTTCACTCATTTATTTTCTTATGACAATCATGATACCTAAGAAACAATGTTGTAAACAACACAAATGAAAGCACAAGCTGAATGCCCAGCCATGATTTGTAGACTTTATGAACAACCAATACCTATGCCAGAATCTTTGCTTGGAAAACATGAATGCAGATACAATGACATTCGCAATTTTTCCTAATGATGAAAGCAACAGCTACATTGTAAAGCTCAAACAGAAGCCTTTGGAAGGTTTATAAAATGAAATTAGGTGAGAGTCCACAGTAAATAGTAGGAAATACAGTAATGATGGCAGAGGTCCCAACCAAGATGGAATAACTCACAACTCACCAGGAGCCCAGCAAAATGAGTATGAGAATTAAGTGAGAGGAATCAAAGGATGGTGCTAGGCAAAGCAGAGAAGCATGTAGAAAAGCTCCAAGAAGAACACCTTTGCTATGAAGGGAAACAACAGACCATGGAGAAAGGGAGAACGGGGCTGCCAAACTGGAGTCAGAGTTAAGAGACAAGAGAAAGAATGAGAGAGAAGTCACAGGATAGAAGTGATCCTTGGTTAGATGAGACAGACTTCTCACCTCCAGCGGCGCAGATAAAGTTACTGTGGGCGAACTGAGGCTACGAGGCCGGCGGATCTGGGGCTCACTTAGGTGGTTGTTACTGTTGGAAGCTGATCCAGATGCACCATCTTCGGCAAGCTATTTTAGAGGCAAAAACAAGTTAGCTAAATGTGAGGATCTTCTTCTGTCTCTGATTAGGCTGTGCAACCCCCAAACAACCATAACAGCAACAACAATAACAACAATGAAAGGTCTGTCATATTTAAATCTTAAAGAAAATAAGTAAACATAATAATAATGGGGAGAAGGGGCAGGGGAATACTATCAAGGGGAATAAAAGTGAATCATTTCCCCAGAATCAAAACTATCTTCAGCCACCAAAAAAGATGTTAGCAACACATTACAATGCACTAATTATTTTGAAAATCTTCTAAAATTCTAAAAATATATCCAATTATATTTCATCTTGGGCATCAAAGAAGAAATGTTTCTGCAGCAAACACTGCACTCAAATCTATACCATATTTGGTGGAATGTAATTTTTTTCATGACCCTTTGGTAGAATGGACGAATTTTGAAAAACAATAAAATGGGCCATTTTTTCAAATTCTATTGCCTGCCACTGTAAGTTGGACAGAATCTTCATACCTGCATAATAGGCCGAGTCCAAGTTGTAGTTCGATTGTTATGATTGACATAGTATGTGCGTCCCTTAGCATCTTTCCTTTCTTCCCAGCCTGAAGGGAGGCCCGGCGTAGTATGTACATAGGCCACTGATGGCTGTTTATGCAAGAAACCAGCATTATTTTATGCTTTGCAATAATTCTGTGAACAGCTTTATAAAGTCATTTCCACCTTGAGAATCCTTTCCCTTTAACATAGTATGTTAATGTTATTTTTAGGAAAAAACCACAGGAGAACATTTAAAAGGGATTATCTTCAAAACGTAAAGCTTCTAGTCACTTAGCCCATAGGTATGCAATATCACTACACGATTTCAATTATAGGAACCAAGTACAAGAATGAGCACAGTTTGTAGGCCCTAAAATCTATTGAATCTACAGAGTCACTGCTCTGGAAATGATAATAATAAAAGACTGCTTGGTCATAAAAGTTTACTGAGGTCATGAACAATTTTTCAAAAGAATCCAATAAAATTCAAATGTCATCTTTCATTAAAGCAATGCCTTAGTGTCTGACTAGTTCTTTAGAGAATATTATTTCCCCAAATAACTGCAATAGGAATGTTCCCTTAGTCCTTCTCAAATTAATCCTAAATTCTACCTTCTGAACCTCCTAAATACACAAAACCTTTTAGAGAAAAGAAAGTTTTTATTTAACAAAAAGGGGCTCATTTTCTAATTCTTTGCTACTATGAAAAGTGCCACTATAAACATTTTGGTATTATGTATGACTTTTACTTGTCTTTTACCTTCTTGGGACATATATTCCTGGTCATGGGACCTCTGAGTCAAAGGACATAGAATTTTTAATCATTTATTAGCATAATTCCAACTTCCTTCTAGAATGGTCTGACTAATCCATAACTCCACCAACAAGATATTAGTGTGTTTGCCTTTCGTTAGCCCCTCTAACACTTGTATTTTAGGGCTCTTTTCCCAGGATTATACACAGAGTCACAGATATATAAGCAAGGATAGAAATGAGCAGAAAAACATTTCTCTGCCATGATTTGGATTTCTTAAAGTTTGATGCTGCCACAGGATGAAGTTATTTAGCAGTGTGAGAAGAGAGATTGACCTAAGGAAATCTGAATAGAGCTTTTCTCTTAAATCCATGATTTTTGATGTGAAGAATGTATCCTGTATAAGTTACTTTAGTGCTCCTAGCTAGTAGGACAGGGTAGCATTCTGTGTTATTTAAAAACAAGTACATAAAAAACTTGGGAAGGTTCAGCAGGTCTGAAGACCAAAATGACACCTGTGCTACTTTTGCATATAAAACTGTAAGAGGAGATTGATCTTCTTTCACTATTATCTTCCCTGATGAGGGACTCCTCCTGGATCACTGTTTACTTGAATAGATGCTCTTCTGACTCTTCATTCACGTTTGTACCTGAGAAGACTTCTATGAACTGACGCAAACTGAAGAGCGCAGGACCAAGAGCACAATTTAACAGGAACAACAATAATGTAAAGACAAACAAGTTGGAAAGATTTAAGAACTCTGAACAATGCAATGACCAAGACTGTGGAGGGCCAGTAATTGAAGCATGCTACCTGATTTCTGCCAGAAAGGTGATGGACTCATGAAACAGAAGGAGACATAAAAACTTTTGGATGTGGTCATTATAGGAATGTTTTGCTTAACTACATGCATGTTTATTTTAAGGTTTTTATTCTTTTTAATGGGTATAAGAGGACAAGGGGGTGAGAGAAAATAAATGCTTGTTAATCTTAAAAGGAAAAAGAATAAACATATTTGTAATCCAAGTTCTTTCTTTGATGACTCTAATTTCTTTTGCTTTGATATTAAGTTTAGAATCTAAAAGCCTTGGCAAAACAGCATGCAGAAAGCTGGTGTCATGTGGGTGGGTGATCATAGTGTACTTGCTGGAAATAGCATCCTATTAAAAGGGGGTTCTGCCATGTAACTTAGGCAACCTTTTACAAGAGGTCACAGATTTCACTTCATGTACTATATAGTATGTTCCAGATGGGAATTAATTTGCCCTATGGGGCAGTTAACACATGGTAGGATCATAGATCCAGTGAAAACTATTTTGACAATAATAAGAGGAACGACATTGTATGAAAATGAAGAGTATCCATATAAGCTTCATCCTCTGTCACCTGTTGAAAACCATTAAGCTTTCAAATTTCACTACCTTGTTCTCCAGTCCTGACAGAAACTGTTGGGACAAAAAGGGATTTGGTCCAAAAGGATAACTCTGTGGACCACAGCAAATTTTGATCTTGTAAATTCTTCTTAAAAAAGGACGATATACATAATGAGGAAGAGTAGTAGATGTGATTCTTATAAACTATGGCAGCCCTACTCTGTTCTTTAGTGGGCATATTAATGTGAATGTATTCTGACTTAACTAAGTGCACAGAATGTACAGGTGGCAGAGTCTTAACCCACTGGATCAATCGCACCGAAAATGTTTTTAGCTAAGTGGAGTAAAGCAAAAACTGGCTGAGTCACATTGATAAAATGATTTGTTGGCTGGGCATCTTTTCCTCTATAGCACTGCATTGGAGAAGGAAAGGCAATGTGATATGCTCTCATAAAACTCTTTTTGAATTGTGAGGGAGTTTTTTTAGTCCTTTTGATAGCCTGGCAAAGGATATGTGATCATGAGACGAAAGATTTAGAGCTGGAATGGACCTCTGATGTCACTGAGGCCACCCTCAACTCATTTTACAGACGAAAAAACTAAAAAAGGTGAAGTGATTGGCCTCTAGTCACAAAGGATCCATTAAATGATTAGTGAAAGTTATAAGGAGTTTGTCAATGAAATGAATTTGCACAAAAGTAAAATAACTTGAATAGCTCAGGCAGCTGTAACAATAGTGGTAACAACTACTAAGAGTTCAAATGGCTCTGAGATCAACAGAGCAATTTGGGCACCACTGTAAGGTTAAAAAATATGATTGTAATCATCTCCACTTTATAGATGAGGAGATGAAATGACTTGCCCACAGTCACATGTTTAGGAAGTCTCAGACAGCCCCAACTCAAATCCCCAGATTCTGAGATTCCAGGACAAGTACTCTTTTTATGACAAAGGGCTGCCTTTATCAGAACTGAAAGATGAATTAAGGATGCCTGGTTCAGTAATCTAGCCACAAGACTACTCAACAGGTCAATCTTAGTTATGGACTTCCCCCCCGCCTATAGAAGAATAATAAATAACAATTCATATTTATATAGTATTTTAAAGTGCATGAAATCAAAGGATGATTGGAAACACTGACCTTTAATAAAATGCTCAATATTCCTAATGATGTGAAATGAAGCTGGAGAGTCTAACTCCTTTAAATTAAATGATATTCCTGAAACAATTGGCTATCTTTGAAATGGGTTAGCCTGTGACGCCAACCCAGGACACAAACCCATGTGATACTCTCCCCACAAGGTAGTCAATAAGAATGCACGATTCAGACTTTAAATCAAGCCAGGAAAGGCATCATTCTGCCTTTGCTGCCTGTGCTAGAACAGTGGCCGTCATTTAACGAAATGATTGCTAATGTTTCATCCTTCTGTTGTTCATAAGCTACTTCCCAAAATGGTCCTTGAGAAGGAGGCTAACAAGCGCTAACAGGTTTTAATATAGTATTTCACAATTTTTCCATCTCTCAAGCTGAATACTTCACTATTGTGCTTGATAATGCCACATATCCATCAATTACAATTGCGTAATAGTTGAATTTAGGCAAAATGAAAAAAAAAAACTCAATTATGATATAAAACAATAAAAGTTACAATATGCTTCCAAAAGAAGATATGAATATAATGGAATGCTGAAATGGAATGCTGAAATGGAATGCGGAAAGAGTGTGAACACTAGCCCAGGTTTTGATCATGCTCTTAGGCAAATCAGTGTGATCTCTCTGAACCTTATTTTCTTCATTTGTAAAATGATGGGGTTAGATGAGGTGATCTTTAAAATCCTTTTAAATTTAAAAGTCTAAGGTCCTTACTTGATCACATCAGAAAATTTTCGAGGTTGTGTCAAGTGCCAGCATGCTGTTACATTTCTGGCATCCAAGGAAATTCTAGCATCTTACACGCACACAGCAGGATAAAATACCTATCTGCCTCTTTCTCTCATATAGTGCCATGGTGTAATAATATTATTGTCCATGGTGTAATAATAATAGGAATGCTCATTTATAGAGCACATTAAGGTTGGTAACATACTTCATGAATTCATTTGCTTCTCACAACAATCCCTGTGTTTAAGTGCTATTATTATTCCTATTTTATACACACACACACACACACACACACACATATATACACACACACATAAAGATTCTGAGGCTGAGGAAGGTGACTTACTCAGGGTCTCAAAGCCAGTCAAAGTCTGGGGCAAGATTTGAATTAGTCTTCCTGACTCCAAATATAGTATTCTATCCACAATTACATGCTGCCTTTCTAGAGAAGAAGTTAAAAGACCTGGGATCTGCACTCAGCTTCACCAATTTAACCGTGTAACCATGGTCAAATGACATAAACTTCTTTGAAATTCAATTAGCTGACGTGAACAAAATAAACAAAAACATGAGGGAAGTGATATCTTCAATCCCTCCTTCCCAGAATTGCAAGGAACTTATACCCACAAGCTAGGTGATGAAGTGGATAAAATGCTGGGCCTAGAGTGAGGAAGATCTGAGTTCAACTATAGCTACAGACACTTTCTAGCTGTGTGACTCTGGGCAAGTCACTTCATCTCTGTTTATCTCAGTTTCCTCAACTGTAAAATGCAGATAAGACTATCTACCTCTTTAGGGCTATTGTGAGGATCAAATCAGCTAATATTTATAAAGTATTTAATACAGGGCCTGGCACATAATTGGAGATTAATAAATGTATGTTTCTTTTTTCCTACTCCAAAGTAGAAATTCTATCTTCTCTCCCATTACATTGTGAACTTCTTTGGGGCAGGGATTATCTTTTACCACTTTTTACATCCACAGTGCCCAGCATATAGTAAGCAATAAATGTTTATTGACTGACCATAAGCATTCTGAAAGATCACGAAGCACTTTACAAACAAAAGAGAGTATATGTTTAGAATAACCATTTCTATTGTCTCATAGAAAGGTTCTATGTTGTAAACTGACATTACTAAAGATTGTGCCTTGCCCACAAATCAAAACAACTTAGCTATGTAGGTATGAGGGTTTCTTTTGCCCTTTTTATTTTGAATAAATATTAATAAGAGTAATGACCTTTAAAAAAAGAAAATAATTGAAAGGGGGAAAAGTAGATCTGATACTCTCAAAGGAAGTCTTCTTTATGTGAAATATCAATTTCTGTTCATACAGTGCTTTATGATAATGAAATATATTATATCATTTGATAATAACAACAATGATGTGAGGTAGGTGGCAGAATTATTATTTAGCCCATTTTACAGATGAGAAAATTGAAACAGAGAGAGATGAAGAAATTTAACCAAGCCTCAAGTTTAGAAGTTTCCAGACTCCAAGGTCAATACTTTTTCCACTACACTACAGGTTTGAGGAAAATGGGTACAATGTTTTTGTTGGTCTATACACTTTGCCTCAAAAACTCTCTTCCACTTCCAAGAAACAGACATCAGCAAGTTTTTTCCTAGTCTGATAATGAGGTTTAGCAACTATCTGCTAATGACAAAGCTTTGGGACTCCACTGCTGGGACAAATAAAGTGCTAAAGATTCTTACAGTATACATTCTTCTTATTTTGGACATGAAAAATGCTACATTCTGGTTAAAACACAGACATGGCAGCCTTATAAATATATTTAAGTAGGGCAAAAAGTGTCTTTTCAAAATCGAATTAAAAAACCTGGAAACAATCTGCATCCTCTATAATAGTGGTATCTATGCAGACTAAGGTACAATAAATATATTACGGAACACTATTTAGCAACTGAAAATGACAACTATGTGAACTATACTGATAAATGGAATAAGTGAAAAAAGGAACATGAAAGATAATATGAATATATGAATCACAGGCAGGTTAAAACATGAATATTAAAAAGATAATTTGTGGACATAGATAGTTAAATAGGTTATCTCCTATGAACATGTCATTTAAGTTCATAACAAATGCAATATACTTGTCATGTTTGTGTTCTGGGCAAATGGAAACTATTGATGGACAAGGAAAAGAATTCAAGTGGCATGTGGGTAAAACATTGTTTGCTTATTTTTTTCAAATTGCTTGACCACTCTACTGCAGTCTTTATATAAACAGTGGTACATACACAAATTTCACCCTTTTCTTTACCAGGGCCTAATGGGTCACCAGGGGTCAAATCAAGAAAGCATGAGAGGTTTAACTCCTGTGTAACCACCCACGGGATACTTCAATGCCTTGATTAGTTTGCCAAGTGTTACCACTTAAACTCCAGCACTCCAGTTCTTCACATACATTTATTGCTCAGTGCAATCCAATATGATAGCACAATTCAAACAATGACAAGGATTTCCAAAGTCAAATAAGAAATGAAAATTGCTGGCTGATGCTAATTTTCATTAAAATTATTTCAAAATGTGACCCAAAGTCAGTCTCAACTACATAGCTACACTCATCTCAAAATATAGCATGTAAACTGGGCAAGATTCACATCAGGAAAACCAGCATCAACTGTAAGAGGAAAACAACAGAACTACTGAGAAGCAGCAGTGCACTGATGACCTTTCCCTTTCTCTCTCCTTCACATGATATAGATCTCTCCTAAATTGCCTGCAACTTGATAGATCTCACTGACAATTTTTTCTTGCAAATGCTGAGCTTTGATTATTAATATTTCAACGTGATTGTTTTTCAAATCATTAACATCCCATAGGTAAAACCAATTTGTATTCCTCAAATATACAATTTATGTCAGAAAAAGCTCTTCTAGAGACATATGAGGTGGTAAAGGGATTTGAACCCAGAGATTTGCAGAGAGAAAAACTCATGTGGATAAGAGTTCGCCATATAAGTTCTGATTCCATATTTATAGTTCCATTGCTGAATTATCAGATCAACAAATATTGACTAAGTACACACAGTAATGCCAGTCACTAGATTAGATTGGAATTGTAAGAAAAAGAAAAAACCATCCAACAGCAACAAAAAAAGTAATAGATAAAGATATGGTAGATGGTCATTTTTAAAAACAGTGAGAGTAGTTGCATGGAAAGGCAATAAAAATTCCTAGCATCACAGTACCTTATATTTTGTTAAAGATAGAATAGGTTTATTTAGTCAATCAAAGGATTAAAAATGAGAAGCATACGTATTTTAAGAACACACTGAAAGTCAACGTTGTTTAGAAAGGCAAAAGAAAATCAACCCCAATATAAAACATTAAAACCAACCCAAATAGATTTGTAGGTAGTGTCTGATAAAGAAGAGCATTACCGTTGGTTCTTCACCACCAGTGACAGTTGACGAACGGGCTCTCCTAGTTGGGGCACTCTGCTGTTAAATCATAGTTTAGGTTAGTTAAAAACATTCAGATAGAGGATTCTCATATTCCAAGAATCAGGAATCACAGCTATATGTGGGCCACTGAGACAGTTAACCCCTGAGATCAGAATCCTGTTAAATCAATCCTGTACAGAAGCAAAATCAAGCTAGCAATCACTGATAACTAGTGGAGAAAGAGGAATGTGAATTTTTCCCTCTTTAAATTACCAAAAACAAAACAGAACTAAACAGGTAGTGTTTTTGTGTTGATGAATAAATTCCCAACTGATGACTCCATCAGAATGGAGTTGTTTCATTTTTCTCTTTAAACAAACTACCACCAAAGAAATCTTCTTCTTCAATGTTCTTAGTCCCCACCAGAAAGGATTAATGAATTCTTTGTCCCGACATCATTAGTGTTTGGCCACTGATGATCAGTGAGTACAGAACTTGAGAAAGCAGAGAAAAGTATCAAGTATATGGGTGTACTTGAAGTCCCCCAACAGCAGCTTCCAGGAAGGTGAGGCTTTTCAAAAATAAAATATACTTTGATCTTACAACAGGAAAAGAAGCGTCGTTAATTCATTAAAGAGAATCAAAGGATTATTTGGTTGAAAAGAACCCCAAGAATTCATCAAAGTTCACCAAAGCAAGCCTATACCCAAATCATCCCAGAAAGACATTTGTCCACCCTGCTGCATTCTTACCAATCACATCATCCTTCACCAAATGAGGTTTAAGCCACTAGTTAATCTGCTATTATGGCCATTCATTTCACTGGATCACGATTTCAGTGTGAGTGTGTGTGAGTGTGTGTGTGAGTGTGTGTGTGAGTGTGTGTGTGTGTGTGTCTCTACTCCAGGCTCAAAAATCAACTAAAACTGACCCAAAAATAAACATACAGTGAACAAAGCAAGTTTAATTGTATGGAATCCATTATAGGTCAATAAAGAATAGCGAGCACAGGTTAATAATCTCTGACAAAGACTGCAGATCACCAGTTAGGACATGTTAAGAGTGAAGCCAATTATTTGTTATTTTGGTGAATGGACTACTTCAAAAACATTTCTAATGAATTCCATAAAATATGCATGTCAATAGAAGACATCCTTTACAGATTCAGAAAATACAATTGCTCATATTTCTGTATTAGAACCCATTCAAGTTTAATAAAACCAGAAGATTATAATGTTTTTGTTTGGTATAAAAAACAAACTCTCTTAGGGCCAAATAACAAATTAAAAAGATTAAACTTTAACTTCAGCATAAGAAATCTACATGTACCATATTATTTTCATGCTTACTCAAAATAATTCCCCAAGGCAATTCAAGTATAAACACACACACACACACACACACACACACGCGTGCACACACTATATGTTGCTAATTCTACTTCAATAATATTCAAAACAACTTTTATTAAGCACCTACTATATGAAGACATTAATGTTAGATACTGGGGTTACAAAGGCAAAAATATATTCATTCATGTCAAAAATAATGGGTCAGGGGCAGTTAAGTGGCACAGTGGATAGAGCACCAGTGGATAGAGTCAGGAGGACCTGAGTTCAAATCCAGCCTCAAGACACTTGCCACTTACTAGCTGTGTGACCCTGGGCAAGTCATTTAATCCCACTACCTAGCCAAAAAAAAAAAAAAAAAAGAAAAAGGAAAAGAAAAAGAAAAAAGAGTTCTTCTTGGTTAAAAAAATTTCATATAATGGATATAATTTTTTTGGAAAGGGAATACAGAAAGTAGTATATAACAATGTCTATTCAGAATACATGTTCACATGAGCATATCCCCCCTTCCATATCTACTTTTTTAAAAAAAATCTAAGTAACTCTTTATGACTAAAAGAAATTATTAATGTGTAATGCCAGTAAATTATTTTTTGCCAAAAACTATAAGCAGATGAATAAGAATTGCTATTAAATTGGGCTAAGAGGATAATGGGCTTTTAGTGTTGAGATCATTTATTCCAAATGCCTCACCTTAATGATAAGGTAATTTGAAGGCAGAAAGGAGAGTTGTTGTGCCCCTCACATATGACTGTAATCGAAGAAAAGCAGGCTTCTGTGACAGATAGGGCTGTGAATTTTTTCTTTTATTTTTTAAAAATGTGTATATCCACAGTTGGTTAAGAATATCTATCTGCCCAGGAAAAACTGTTTTTCAGATATAAGGGAAGATTTCACATAAATTATAATGTATCTAACAATTAAAAATTAGCTTGAAGTTTACCGGTGGTAGATGAGATTGTTCAGCCACTCCATCTGTCACGCTGCAGGACCTCAGTCTTGAAGAAGGTTCTCTTTGCTGGAAGAATAAAAAAAAAAAAAATAAGCTGTCGAGTACATTAATTTAAAAAAAAAATAAGCTTGATTAATTAAAAAATCATTTAATCCATTCAATGAAAGCAGAATGAATTTTGTTTTTCTTTACACTACTTTTCTGTTACTACTATAACATGAAGGGCAGTCAAGAAGAAACCATCATCTTTCCAAGGAAAATATTTAAAACAAAATCACCTTCCTTTTTTAGTTTTCAATGTTTTTATCCAGATGGTCTCATGGTTGGGCCCTAGTTAGAATTAACTACAAAACAAGTAGGAAAAAGAGTCCAAGAAATAAAAGGACAATAAATAGGTCACATGTGCATTTCAATCCTACATTTAAAACTAACTTAAAAAGCAAGTAGTATACTATTCTGGTATGCAAACTCTTCAGGGCATAACCTGAACGATAAACCATAATGGGAAAGGAAAGATAAGAAAATGAGAAAGAAAACAGTGATGTATGATGATGAATAACATTCAATGAATGCCTACAATACATAAAGCACTGGACAAAACAAAGGGTTAATTTTAGTCTTTGTGAAGAGGGACACATATAACTTTGTCTTAACTTTCACAAATCAAGAATTCTTAATCCCAGCCTCGGAAGAAAACTCAGTAAATCTCAGCAAAAAAAAAAAGAAAAAGAAAAAAGAAAAAAAAACTCAGAATGATATGGAAAATGTTGCCTATGCTTGAAAATTTGCCATGTAGTGTTCTGTTCACAAGATAAGACAATTTAAAATGGCAAAAGAAATATTTGTCAAATTCACATGGTCAATGAATATATGGATCTCTTGTATTCACAGAATATATATTTCAATAGATGACCACCTAAACAGTGGCAAGCAATGTATATAGATGTGTGTGTGTGTGTGTGTGTGTGTGTGAGATGTATAAGTATAATGTACATATACCTAAGTAGTCAAGGAGCTATAATTTCATTGATGTAGGAACACCTTCTAACAATGCAGATCTCTGTCTATAAATTAGAATATAAGTCCTAGTGAGTAGCTTGAGGCTTAGATGTTACACTTACATAGCTAGTTAGTGTCAAAAGTAGAAGTTGACCCCAAGACCATCTTATTCAAAATCTAGCAGTCTATTCACTCTGCCATGCTGACTCTGTGTATGTGTGTATATCATATTACATTCATTTTTATTTCCTTCCATTTGATTCCTACTGTCATGTATTTCATCATGGCTTGGATGTAACCCTATATTCTCAAATGCGAGCCTGCAGAAAGTAAAATCTAGTAAGTTCTACCAAGCCCTAAGTCTTTGAAAACAGCTATAATAGGCCCGTTCATCCAAGGTTCAGATGTTGGATTCATTACCAGGAGATTTAAAATCAAGGGATGAATTCCACTGGTCATAGCATACTCATGAAATTCAATGAAGAAAAACTCATGATTTGCTTTATTGGAAGCAGTACTCATGCTAATGAAAACCATATATTCTTCAAAGTAATGATGCATGTCCACTACCCACTTCTTACTTAGCATCATCTTGATTTTGTTCTTTCCTTCCATGTGGGAATAACTTAACTGCCTCAATACAAATGGACATATCTCTGATTGAGTTCTAGAATACTTACATTTCTTCAAAACTTTTATAATTATGAATAAATCTACATGGTTGTGAAGGTAAATTTTTCATGGGGACGCATCAGGATATAGATTTCTGACTAAGTGCCATTCAAATATCCCTGGAACATGGATTGAAATAAAATGGCATCAGAGTAGTAGGCAAGCTAGAAGGTGAGTCTCCATGTTCTTTTTTGAAAAGCTCTTCTTTTGAGAAAATGATTTTATCATATTTGATGAGATTACTTTAAAATAGTAATATGGCAACCCTAAATCTAAACAATATTTTATTATAAGTAAATGCAGTCACTATTTTAATATAATCAGTAAGGAATGCTATTTTAACATTAACTGCATAAAATTACTATTGTGTTTGCATTAGGTACAATAAAAGTATTTAATTATTGTAGGTTCTTTGTAGAAGATTGGGCATTTCTATCTTTTATAGGTCCTAATGTATGGTTTTATCACTTATTTTGTTTCCATAACAACAATATTCAATTTCATCTGTGTTTCTCAGCTTTGCAATATCTCTTTCCCTTTTCCTCTGGCACTAAATTTTAATTTGCATGTTTTTATCTGAATGTCATTTCTCTTTTTATAAAAACAGTCATAATTTCAATATGAAACTGCATTAAGAGTAATTTTAACTCATTAATTGGTAAGGGCAAGTTTTTTTTTTAAAATCATCCATATTAAAGTTTTTATTTATGAGTATCAGTATTGTACCCACATTTTTATACAGCCCTCCTATGCCGTAAATTAGATACTCTCTTGATAATGGGTTCTTTGGCTAGAATAATCATTTCTCGAACACTATTTCCAGTGGACAGCCTGCCATCATCTGCAACAGCACATCTTCATTCTCTATTACATTGCACTGGGGCTTGAATTTGTTCTCATTTTTAAAGGTAAATAGCTGCTTACTGTAGGATTTTCTGAATATACTGTAGGATCACACAATTTAGGGGCCCCATATTGTGATTTCCCCTGCTGCTTCTGCTTCTCCCCTCTAGGACCAGCACCACCTAAAATTCACAGACTTTGTTCTTAGTAGGGTCCTAGAAGATAACGCCCCAACGAATTTAAACTTTTGGGAAAGAGAAGTCACTGTTCTCTCTACATTTGCTCTAGGTGATCTCATATCTCCCCCGGTTAGATCCTATTATTACTTTATGTGCATGTCTCTTAATCCATCATTTCCAGCACTAAACTTTTTTTTAGCTCTAGACCCACATTCTCAAACTGCTTACTAAACATGGATACCCTACTGACATTACAAATTCATCATGTCCAAAATGGCACTCAACTTGCCTAGTCCTCCTTTTGACTTCCCTGTTTCAATTAATAGCACTAGCATCCCTTCCAGATAGCAGATGTCAACTATAAGGGTACTCCTTTCACTCTTTTTCTTACCCCTCACATTCAGTCAATTTGCAAGTCCAATCCATTCCAATTCTTTGATATCCTTTGGATTTATTCAATCCTCTCAATTCCTACTGGTACCACCCCAATTCCAACCTCTATTCATTATCTCTTCCTTGCCTGGACTATAACAGTCTTCTAACTGTCTACAGCTCCTGTCTCTCCTCTATCCAACCCATCTAATATTTCTCCTAAGTTAATCTTTCTATTGAAGTTCTAATCATGATATTTCACCAATCAAGACATTGATGATACTTCACCAACCAAGAAGTTAAATGGTTCCAAGTGCCTACAATATACATTCTAGGTTTCTTTACTTAGAATTTAAAGCCCTTCATAATCTGGCTTCAACCTAACATTTCCAGGTGTATCTCACGTTCCTCCTTTTCACTTTCCCTAAAGAATAGTCAAACCAGAGAATCCACCGTTTTCCAAAGACATCCTATGCTCTTAGCTTCCACCCATTTGCTCACATGGTCCTTATGGCTAGAACTGTGTTTCTGCAGCATGCTTGTCCTCTGAAATGCTGCTCAATCCTCCAAACCCCAACCACCTTTTCCAAATAATAATTATAACAATAACTAACAATTATAAAGTACTTACTATGTGTCAGGCTTTACAATTATTATCCCACTTGATTTTCATAACAATCTTGGGATAAACCTTCCCAGATCCCACCCTGCTACAAAAAATTCTTCCTTCCTTTGAAGTCTTTCTCAAAGCAGTTTCCATTCTTCTCCTAATTATATTTCTTTGGAAGTCATTTATGTACTCCCCTACTAGACTGTAAGTGACTTGAGAAAGTGGAGTGTTTCATTCATTTTTCTATTTCTATCAATACCTAGCATGCTGTCTTACAAAAACCATAGGTACTCAAATGTTTGTTGAATCAAACTGAAAGACCTATACTAGCAATGGAGACAGTATTTCTAGACTCATATTTTTGTCTGTCTTCTTCACAGAAATGGGGTGTACTAAATTAAAAAAAAAAGCAAAGCTGGTTGTAGTCCCAAGGGTTAAATGCCTATGGGCCATCTCTTAATATTTGGAGCTATTTGGGTGGGGATTCTGTGCTTCGTGGTAAGCTTGGCCCTGATGTTTTTAATAACTACTTGGCTACAGAACAAATGCCCCCACATTTATATATAATAATTGCTCCTGAGTATTTCATGAGTATATTATATAACAGATAAAACTGAGATAAAAAGAATTAATGATTTATGTTAATCATGAGAAATTATACTAGACATAAAAGAGGCAGAGTGGTGCAATGGAAAGAGCATTTGGCTCTGGAGACAGAGGGACTGGCCACAAAGGCTACCTCTGCCACTTACCACCTGGGTGACTTTAGGCAAGTCCCCTAACCTCTATGGGTCAAAGTTTCCTCATACGTAAAACTGGAGGATTATACGAAATCAGGTCTGCACAACATACAGTCTGTGGGCCGCTTGCAAAGGATTTTAGGGGGCCCGAGAAAAATGTAGGGTTGCCACTGCACACTCTTTCCTGTTTGTCACATGACTCACAGCAACATCATCAGTCTGCTTCTAGTCTAACCTGTCTGTGGCCCAAAGAAGTTTAGCCTATTTTAATTTTGGCCCCTACCTACTGCCAAGTTGCGCAGGTCTGTACTAGATGGACTCAGAAGTCACTTCGAGCTCTAAATCCAAGATTCTAAAAATAAAATCATTAAAAAAAAAATTCTTACTTATTAAGGATACATCTAGAGAATTGTGCCCACTGAGCAAGCCTCCTTAGGGTTGCCTATGCTCCTAGGGTGAGAGAGGTTTCTTCTTCTCCTTGGGCAGCACTGGTCTCTTCATATATAAATGTACATCTGACCTCTGGAGACTGGCATGTTTTCTGCATCTCCACCCCCAACCTGGATCTCTCTCTATTTTTCCCTGCCAGAGGAACTATCTTAAAAGTGACATTCAGATAGGATGTCTTGGGCTCACAGAAAGTACCCAGTGCTCATCAGATCAAGCACGCAAGTATGATAATGCAACGCAAATTTGCATTAATCATTAGAGGTGAATTAGTCAAGTTTGATTATTTCTGTCTAATAGACAGTGGTACAGAGGCATGGAATGTCTCTAAATTACTCAGGATCCCAGCCACAGATTTCCCAAGTCATAATCTGGTGTACTATCTCATTACTGCTGAAGCTTAAGGATTTCAGGCCAGAGGGAAAGAATTCCTAAGAGTGAAAATAATTAAAGTATTAAGATCTAATTGGGGAGGGAAGGGTGAAGAAATAGTAACTTATTTAAGACTGAAAGAATTTAAGTTTGCTTCTGACCCTCATAGAGGAAGGTTAACTTGGGCAAACAGCAGATTAATGCTAGTAATAGGGAAATCTGGCTATTATTTAATTGCTAAAGTCTAAAATATTCACACATACACAATTTTACCTAGTCAAAACAACCAACTGCAAAAATAAAAAAAATGTGTTCCATCTCTGTTTCCATAAATACTACTGCTTACAATCAAAGAACTGAATTGTTCCCCATTGGAATCCGGAGTGATCTGAAGTCTTCTGTTCAATTCCTCTGACAGTTCTTGAGGACTGGTCCGAGATACTGGAGAAGCAGGAGGTGGTGGTAAGACCAGACTAAGAGAGTCTCCGGTTATATTCACTTCCTCTGAAATGGTTTCCCAAGGCTTATAAGAAATGAGAAATTATCGTAAATGCTAGAGATGGGATTTTGGTTTGTGCTATTTCCCCACTGATTTAAATCTTAAGAGGTCTTGATTATAAGGTGATTTACTGAATTAACCATAATATACTAGTACTGAGGGGGATAATCCTCAGCACAGAATCCACTTAAAAACTGAAGTAACAGAGGAATCATTTTATCATTTGAATGAAAACTCCATAGGCAGTTGGCAAAAGAAATGAACAATTTTTAAGGAATTCTTTCATTTCCAAATTTTAAAAAAAAGAGATCAAGTAAATGGCTCAGAAAGGTATAACTTTTTTCATAAATATTTAGAAAAATTTAGCAGCTCTGCCTTTAGCAATATTAATATTTACAGAAGCATTAACAGGGCAAACAAGAACATATTTCATTAAGTTTATCAATAAAGTATTGGCTCTCCTTTTTATTAAAACATCTTTTGAAGTAGCAAATGCCTAAAAATGATGTGGCTGTCTATAATGTAAACAGCTGATAACAGAGAATAGAGGATCTTGGCTGAAATGTATCATATATTTATAGTCACTAACTTTTAATTAAATGTTTCAGGTGCAGGTACCATTAAGATAAACTACAAAGTTATACAAATAAGTGATATCCAACCACTGTATTTATTGTTGACAAAAATTTCCCAAGATCATATGAACAGTTGAATAAGAAATCTATGTCTCTATTCTACTCCATGCTGGAAACTTCAGTATCCCAAAAGTGAAAAGTATGTTTCTATTTAATTTGACTAAAAAGAGGTGAATTGTCCTAGACTTTGAGAAAAATACCACTAAAAAGTGAAAATATCTCTAAATTTGTGCATACTTTGCATGAATGTTGTAGAAAATCACTCCCTTTTATAACACTGCACCAACACATATATGTCAGACATAGGTCATAAAAGTGTGTAATTTTGGATTACTAACATTAATAACCACATGAGTGATCAACTGGCTATGAGGATATTATCTTGGATTTACGAACAAATTTTACTGAAAATGTGTAAAACATAAAACCACCCTTAAGACACCAAAAGTGGAATACACAAAGTTGATGAAAGATGTCAGGAATGGTACTACATACTTCAGAGACATCTCCACCTTCAGCAGGTTCAGGTTCTAAATCTTCACTAATATGTCGCCGGGAGCGGAAACGTCTATGTGCTGCCTCTTGATTTATCTGTCTGATGTTGTTATCCGACTCAGAGGACATATCACTGGGAAGTATGGAAATAGGGAGAAAAGACATGGGGTGAAAAGAATAAGGATTAACAGTAGCATCTTCATCAATAAAACATATATTGAGAGACTAATGTATATAAAGCATTATGATAACCTTTTAAGGGTGAACTTAAATTTACTTTACACATGTTTATTTTGTCAATTTGGCTTTAAAGAAACAAAGATGATTAATGTAAGAATTATGTGCAGTTTCTCTCTCAAATAAATGGCATCAAATATGGAAGGTAATGAAGTTTTAGGCTTGTAATGGAGACAGGGTGTTATTAATACTTTTTTCTTTTAAACTTATAAACTTATGCAAAATATTTCTGGGAAATACAGCCAGAATTTGGATCACATATAAATCATTTAGAGAAAAATTAAGTTATTTTACAGGAAAAATTATTTTGAAGAACAAGTTGTTAGATGTTGATATATAATGAAAACTTTCTTTTTAAGTTCCAAAATCAAAGAGTAGGTTATCTTATTTACCAATCTTAAGGTTTGTTGGTTTGTTTGTTTTGGGGGGAAGGAAGGGAAGTCTGAACTTGTGATTCCATAGAGCTCTCTGTGAATAAACCCTCTCTAACAAAGTAGATGCACAAGTGCTCTGAAATGTACAGTCTTAGGGAAACTCCTAGAGACCCCAAAATATTAAGTGACTTTCCCAGAGTTACAAAGCCAGCATGTCAGAGGCCGCCCATTACTGAACACCCCTAACTTAAATTGGAAGCAAACGCAATTAGAGTTTTAAAATCATAACATAATTGACAATGAACTCAATTATACTTTTAAAAAGGGGGTGAGGGGACTGAATACCATTTCCTCTATGTAACTTTTCAATTTCGGGACTGTGGAATTTCTGTTATCATAATCAATCTAATCAGTGAACAAATATTTATTAACCATCAATTATGTGACAGAAACATACAGCTTTCCCTCTTCCATCACTGTCTTTGGCAATACTGAAAAATCTTGAAAATCAAATGGGTTTGGCTCATGTGGACAAAAAAGATGTAGAGAAATCTTAAGGGTGTGAAACCCTTAAAAATACTTCCTCAACCTATGATTGATGAAAAGAATCATACTTTGAAGATTCAATTGTCATATAGCCATCTTCTCATGAAGGAAGAGAGTAAGAATTGGGAACCAAATAACTGGCATCTATTTCATTCTTTGGACCCTTTCTCCAAATGTTTTTCTTAGAAAGCTGAGGGAAAGGAATTTCAAAAACAAACAACATATTTCATTCATTTTCTAAAAAGCAAATGAATTAGGAGGAAATGGAAGAAGTAGCAGATGAAAGAAATTCCTAGATGAGGGCAGCAACATCCTTAGCTAGTAATTAATTTCTTTGTTCTACTGTTGACAATATTAACATGATCTTTGTTAGTATCAGCCTTCTGAGTGATTTGATGTATTTGCATGTTCTTGCAAGTTTTGGAAGTTAGTTTCATTGCCCACCTCTAGAAACATGTTTCCATGTACCTTAGGATATTGCCCACAAGTGCCAGATTTTCTTTCATCTTGCCTTCTCTGGCACCATTATTTATCTGTTTAATGTAGCCACCACTGGTTTCCCTGCAACTTTTTCCTGAGATTCACCACTTGTTCTATGGCTTAGCTGTTCTGATATCCTCTTTCCAGGTGAGTTGTCACCTCATAGGCTTTGCCATACTATAACCTTGCTATCCTATTCCAAGGGCAAGCACAAATGCCATACCACTTCTGAGTTTTGTTAATGTCTCTGCTTCTTTTATATCTTTGTTTATTTGACCTGTGTCTTCTTATATACTATTTTGGTTTTCCCCTTATACATCTGGCACATTGTTGGTTTTGATTCCTACATCCTAAGATTCAGTGACTAAAGGATTGTCTTTTTACTTTCCAGGGATACAATAGTCACTGTGCCTGAATTTCTTCTTTGGACAGATTACTGGTGATGGATCAAAATATTAGACAAAGAAACAGCAACTGGGGTAATTGGTTGGCTTCTGCTCTCTTCTCTTTCTGCCTCAAGGTAATCTTTTCAGTTCATTTGTTTCTAAAATTTTACTGGTATCTTTTGTTTTAAAATCACTTTGATTTCTGAATATATTCCTCCCTTCTCTCCTATCCAAGGCAGGTTATTTATCTTAAATAAACATTAACAGTTGGCTGGTCCCCAAATAAGATGAATTGTTACTCCATATCACAGTTATATGTTCTCATGCAGAAAATTCCACTTAAAATTTAGAGCTTAAAAAAGAGTGGAAGCCAAAAACCCTAGATTTGCTATAAGAACAAGTTCAAACTTTGAAAGGAGAATTTGTAGGCTTTTAACTATAAACTCAATCAATCATTGTCTTTCAACTGGAAAACAGCTGACACGTGGACATGTTCTAGAGAGCAGTGTGAAGACAAGGCATCAGGTCACAGGTTTATGGAGAATGTTGAAGGGACTTTAGAGGTCATCGAGTCAAAAACATTAATTTTACAGATTAGGAAATTTACAGATTAGGAAACTGAGGTGAAGTGAGATTAAACAATTTGCCTCAGGTCACTGAAGAGACACTAAAAAAAGCAGGAAAGCTACAACAGAAATCATAAATCACAGAATTTTTTTTTGTATAAACCTTAAAATAAAAAGCACCGTATCTGAAAGTTATAAGGCCAACCACAAAGATGTGTAATAACAAGTGATACTTACATAGGAATTTAAAGTTTGAAAATACATGTACTATCTCATATGAACCTCAAAATAACTCTGTGCTATCTTATAATTCCCATTTCAGAAATGGAGATACTGATGCTCAGAAATATTAACTGACTTTTCCATCATCACATCATCACTCAATGTCAGACACAGGCCTTGAATCCAGGATTTCCTGACTCTCAATCCAGTACTGCATCCATTGTACTATGTGGGTTCAGTTTGCTATTCCAAAATATTGCAAAGACTAAATCAAGAGGCGATAGGTATACTTCCTGCTGGCAGCCCAGTCTCCCAACTGAGCTGTGGAGAATGTCCAGTGCAAAGAGCGACCCTCCCTCTGACTTCAGGCCTCTCACCTCCTGCTGGGCCTGTACTTTGAGGGTAGAAGCTCTCCACTCAGTAATGAACATTCTCATACCTGGTCATACCCTTCCCACCCCAGGGACTCTCAACTCTTGTAGCTCATCATCCAAAACCCATTCCACATAATTCCTCATTCCCATCCCCCTCAGCGCTCGCTCCACCCAGCCTTCCATTGTGCCTTCTGGAATGCCTACTCCACAGGCATCAAACTCACTTCATCTTAAATCTATTCCTCTCTGACTCCTTCAGTCCATAAGCTCTGACTGAAATCTCACTTTCCCCCATGATACAGCTTCCCTAGCCACTCTTTCTTAGTACTGGCTTCACTTTCACTCATTCTCAGCTCACTGATCAAGGCAGGAGGAGCTGAAATACTCCTTGTTCTCCATTGACACTTCTAGGTTATCCCCCTTCCTCCATTATTCAGTAGCCAATCCTCCTTTGAGGCTCATGCTATTGATATCTATCACCCAATCAAATTCCTGGTAGCTGTTGCCTATAGACACTGCTCTTTCCCCTGGTCATTCCCTGTCCTTCCTCAATGGGCCTGGGATCTGACTTACACTTTTTTCTCTTCCCCTCATATATATATTGATTTTCCTTCAAATACCCTAACTATTCAAAGTTGCTTGACCTACTCACCTTTCACGAGCTACTCCTCCACCCCACCTCAGCCACACACAAAGATGGTCATACGCTCGATCTTGCCATCACCCACAAATGTACCATCTCCATGTTCAAGAATTCTAATATCCCCTTACCTGACCATAATCTATTGGGTTTTCACCTCACTCTGCCTTCTTCCCTTACACAATCCTATTTTTCATCTGCAGTGTGACCTCCAATCCTTTCAATTGGCCTTTCAATTCTCTTTCAGGACATCTCCCTTGTACTAGCCACTCTCTCCTCTTCTCCCCATCTTCACTCCCCAGGGAATCAATTAAAGTCTATACCATCCTCCTCTTTTGAATCCCTGGCCCAGGGGTGGGGAACCTGCTGCCTTGATGCCACATGTGGCTGTCTAGGTCCTTGGTGCGGCCTTTTGACTAAGTTCAAGTTTTACTGAACAAATCTTTTTATTAAGGGGATTTGTTCTATGAAGTTTGGACTCAGTCAAAGGGCTGCACTTGAGGACCTAGAGGGCCACATGTGACCTCAAGGCTGCAGGTTCTCCACCCTTGCCCCAGCCTCACTACACTCTAGTGGCTCCCTGTGGCCCTCCAAGATCAAATACAAAATACTCTGGCATTCAAAACCCCTCATAATTTAGGGACACCCCTGCCCCCCCACCTTTCCAGTCTTCTCACACCTTACACCCTAATACATATGCCTTGATCCAATGATGCTGCTTCCTGGTTGTTCCACAAACAAGACATTTCTTCTATCTCTCTGCTCTGGGCTTTTAAGCTTACCTGTTCCCTGTGCCTAGAATGCTTTACCTTCTCTGCTCCAGCTACTGACCTCTCTGGCTTCCTTTAAGTTCCAACTAAAATCCCACCTTCTACAGGAAGCCTTCCCTAACACCTCTAAAGTCTTCCCTAATTATCCTACTGAATGGACTTGTCTGCATTTTGTCTCCCTATTAGATTGTAAACTCTTTCAGGGTAGAGACTCTTTTGCTTCTTTTTGTATCCCCAGTGCTAACACTGCCTGGCACGTGGTAGATGCTTAATAAATGTTTATTGGTTAATTGATTTTAATAGTCATTTACCCTCTCTGGGCCTCAGTTTACATATGTCTAAAATGAGAGGATTGGATAATATAACTTCTAAGGCTCCTCCCCGCTTTAAATTTCTATGATTCTATGATTAAATAAGGAGAAAAGAGGCAAGTCTACCATATTAGTGAAGTATCTGACAATGAAATTTTGAAAAAAAAAAAAAAAGAAAAAACCAACACATATATTTACCCTAATTAATCCCTACAAAAAAGTATTTT